CTTTTATATATATATATATATATATACACATACATACATACATACATACATACATACATACATACATACACATACACACACACACACACACACATACATACATACATACATACATACATAGGTCTTTGGTTATTCGGGTTTTCTCCTGCGTAAAATTGGAGGTGTCTTGGCAACGTTTCAACTAAGTCTCATTCGTCATCTTCAGGCTTCGTGCTTCCAGGAGCAATGCATATATATATATAACTCTCAGTTATATTTTCTCAACACTAAACTCTCCCAGTTCTTTCAATCTTCTTCACTGAACTTAATTTTCCAGCTTTTGATTGTAATTATTGCCCTGTTACAGGAGTGGGATTGAAAATGTTTAGCAACCAGTTGGTTCTCTGCCCGGTTGCTGGGGGTGTGTGGTCATGGGAGGCATGGCCTCCTGCACCATGGCAGAGGGGGATGTTTCGCCCTCCCTAGGCTCCGAAGGCTTTCCATGAGCCTCCAGGAGGGTGAAAATGGCCTCCCCCAGGCTCTGGAAGCCCTCTGGAGGCTGGAAACAGGCTCATTTACAAACCTCTGGAACTTCTGGGACACCCATTTTGCCCTCCCCAGGCTCTGAAGACATTCCTCAAGCCTCTGGAAAGATGAAAATGGCCTCCCCTGGGCTCCAAATGCCCTCCGGAAGCCAGAAACAGGCCCGTTTCTGGACTTCTGGAACTTTCAGGAGGCCCATTTTTCGCCCTCCCAGAGCCTCTGTTCGGGCCTTGCACTTACCTGGCATGATGAAAGGCCCCTGTGGAGACTGCTGGGAGGGGAGGGGCAGGTTAGGCGGTGCCATCCAGTCCTTCCAACTAATTATATTGTTCACAGTAATGTTTTAATAATATAATTAAGTGAAATAACATCCTAATTTCTTTGTTCTATCCTTGTCTTCTTTTGGGAGCTTGCTTTCTTCTATGCGAATTAGGTATGAAACTCCTTTATTTTATAATTAATGTGAACTTTATAATCAGAGACTATCCAGGATAGCCAAAATCTACAACAATCTTCTATTATTAGAGCTGAATCAAATGTAGATGTTATTGCCATTTAATTTTCTTCTATTTCCTATTTGTAAATTAGAACACAGTAAAACACTACATTTTTCTCACTTTGGATAGTAAGATGACCAATATATAAATGTGGGGAAACCAGATAATTTCTTCCCTTCAGATGACAAGATTTATGCACTGATGAAGATACTTAACTGTAAAACAGAGTTTTATACATCAGGTAATAATATGAACAATTTTGGTAGCTAAAAAAATATTGTGTGTGTGTACATGTACACAAAGTCAAAATAAAAACCGACAGATGAGGTGAGCATAGATTTGTGAAAGTCCACAACAGATCAGCTATACAAACATTTGGGAGCTATGCTTTGCTTCTCTCTTAGCCAACTGTCTATTCCATTCCAGCACATGGATCAGCAGCAGATACTATTTTTATTTGTGCTCCAGTGGCCAAGTTCTAGAAAAGACAGCCAAGTTTCTCATAATACATACGACAGAAATGGAGTAGGATGTCACTATTCTTAAAATCTCTACCTGCTTCCATCACATTTCTGTAACTGTACTACTCAGCTATTAAATAGTCAATGAAAGGAGAATGATTAGCAGGACGGAAGACAGACAAATAGGGATAGAGCTCCTAACACAAATTAAGTCAATGAACTTTGTAAGTACACTGGCTATTGGAATCGCTTGAAGGCTTAAGTGCCCTCATAATAGATATCTGAGGTTGTTTCTTCTTTGAAAGCAAAAGTTATGAAAGGTCACATCATGGGAGCTTAACTATATTACAGAAAAACATTGTACCCTGTGTTCATCAGGTCTTAAACTCACCCCAAGTCAGCGTGGCAAGAGTTAACAATTCAGGTATTGAACCTGAAGGAACTATGTATTCAGGACTATAGGGGTCTGTCTGAGCTTCGCCATCCCGATAATCTGTTTGTGTTTCCACAGTTCGTGAAATGTGACATGGTTTGTCTTTGGATTTTGCTGGAGTTTGTAGCTCTGGCCTAAAATGCAAGGAACCAAACAACATATTTCAAAAGTTCCTACATTATTAAAATAAGATTTTAGTTATGCCACATTATAATATGCTTTTATTGTTGTTATTCCACAATGTTACTAAGGAGTTCAAAAATATTACATTCCATCGTTCCTAAATCTTCTTAATCTTATTCTTTTCTTTTATAAATTATTTTCCTCGTTATTTTGCTGTCCCTGGATTCTGTTATTAATCTAATACATCCCTCTCACACTTGGTTCATTTTCCCAATCTTTCACCTAAGACATAAAGACATGTGTAGTTCATATCAGTATCCCAAAGACTGGGGGGAATCTGTGTGTCCCTCCCTATGCTTAACCATATTTTAGACTATTTTCACGCTTTTTAATTTAATTATTAGAAAAACTAATCTCTTGAGATATGGAAAAAAACTTTATCATTTCAGTGATTAAACATTAGCGCTAATACTGGCTTATTACTTACTTTGACATTGCATAAACAACATTCAGTGGAATTGGCTTATCAAATGGAATGAAAGGTCTAAAAATAAAAACAAAATTAAGAATAGATCAATGAAACAGGAAGGATATCTCTTCAGTTATAATTCCCAGGACTGTTATTTCACCAGCAACTACATGTTACTTAACTGACTACTTTTCAATAATTAACTGGTTTTAACCTGTATATGGATATTTTAATTTTTTTATATATACTGAAAACTGCTAAGAGTTGCTTGATTGTGATTGGATAAAAGTTTGCTTTAAAAAATAAATAGATATAGAATAACTAGTCTCCCTCAGTTATTACAAAAATATATTTTTTCATTCTCAAATTTCATTTCAAAAGTATGTTACTAAGTTTGTGTGTGACAAAATTCTCCAAAATTTCTGACTTATTCTTGACAAGTTTCAGAGAGTAAAATATTTTCAACAGTTGAAAAAAACTATTAATATTGTAAACAAATAATATTGCTCCTTACAACACACACAGACCTCTTGTAACCTACACAGATTTAACTTTAATCAAGACATCTGATCAAGACGCCCCTGAAGCTTAAGTACTTGGATGGGGAGGGTAATTGAAATTAGGAAAGAATCTTCATTTCTAAAGTATTTTGGGAAGTATTTTGGTAATAGCTATTAATTTGGTCCATGAGATTTAATTTTGTATGCTCCCCACCGTTCAAAATATTTCCAGCGATTTCTTCCACTAATTTCAGGATCTTCATATTCAATTCTGGGCACCTGAAGTGAAGGTGGGGCTCTATAAAGAAAAATAATATATACAAATTATTAGTGAATCTGATGTTTCAGAGAAATGTAACATTCTCATTGATAATGTATCTTGTTTTTTAAAAGTTAGTGGGGCTTCAATGTCAACAACACCTTGAAGTGACAAGGGTGAAGCTTTTTCAAACTATATTTCTTATATACTAGGAACTTTTGTAGCTGGGTCACATTTACATAGCTTTCCTCAATGGATTTGTTTTTCATGCTTTAACAGTTGCTCATTCCAGAGATAGCATTTCTCAAATCAAATTTGAACTGCAGACTTCATGGTTGTAACATCCGTTAACAGTATCCTGAGTCATTGTGCTGTGCAACGTGCAACTTGCAACAACTGCAATTGAATCACAATTTAACTAATATAAAATATAAGACACTTACACCACAAGGTGCTGAAAAGTCTCAAAGCGTTGCTGTGCCCTTCCTCTCCATCTTCGATCAATGAATGGAGGAACAGGAGTTTTTTCTTCCAATTGCACAAAGTACGATGGATAGTGAATCAAATTACTAAACATGGTTTTAAATTCTGGTACTTTCCTCTTTTTATATGAAAAAGACAGAAATGCAACATTATATATTATTATGTTATATCTAAGGCTTAAATACAAATATAATTCATCATCATCATTGGTTTCTTTTGCATAAAGCGCATAGGGCAACAAGTTTCTTCCAATGTATCTTATCCATGGTGATGTCTTTGGCATCTTCAAAAATGAGAGCCCAAGTCTTAATATTTTCTTCTGCAGCTCCTGGATGACCAATGGGCCAGTCCTGTGAGCTCTGAAATATGGGACCAGCCAGGCAGCTCATGGTGAGGCTGGAAATCTCCGCTGTAGGGGAAAGTTCGTGAAACTTCAGTTGCCAAGTGTCTAAATTTTGATCACGTGACCATGTGGATGGTGCAATGGTTGTAAGTGTGAAAAACAGTGATAATAAGTCACTTTTTCAGTGCCAATGGTCACTAAATGAATTGTTGCAAGTTGAGGACTACCTACATTTCTCTGTACTAAAAAGGTTGGAAATTTCTGTTTATGTAATTCAAAGAAATCATGCAACAATATACGTATATCTACATGATATGTGTAGATATAGGTAGAAACTATGCTTTCTTTTAAAAGTTATATTTCCTATGAAATAAATTTCAAAATACCTAGCAACAGCAAGTTATCTTTCACAGAAACACAAGTACTCTGAGAAATAGTTTTAGACTATAATCACCTACCATTTCATCATGAATAAGATGAGCTTGGACATTTGCTTGTGTATGATCTTTTTCACTTGATAGCTCATACAATGGATCTAAAATATATATACAGAAATGGAAATACTTTAATAAATTTAACAAAATATATTATACTAGACAATCCTGTTAAGCATGTATTTATTCATAACTTATATTCTTTCTAATATGGCTTCAGGTTTAATTTCAAGATGAAACTACCTTGCATACTCTGGTATAAATTCTGATGTAAGAAGTAGGTATGGAAAAATAATTGTGATGATACTTTGGGAAGCTTTTATTTATATTTATTTATCTTTTTATAAATGAGGTAGAGTAGAGAAATGCAAAAGCAATCAAGTAACTCAATGAAACAGTAAGCAATGCATACGAAATGCAAGTTAAAATTACTCTATCGGCAAGTATTTGCAAATGAACTCAAACTTTAACAAACAGAACATTATTATAAAGCCAAAAGCAGAAATATCAGAATGTTAGGATAAAAAATTTGTGATTCAGTTTGTCATGGAAACAAGTACAACTCACAATCAAGTCAGTTATAATTATGATATCCATAATGATCATATAAAATGCAAATTAATGATCAGTGCTTATCACATAAATTAATCTTGAGTGTGAATTGTTTATAACAATTACAGTACAGGTAGTCCCCAATTTACGACAATTAAGCCCCAAATTTTCATTGCTAAGCAAGACAGTTGAGTGGGTTTTGTCCCATTTTTTGTGCCACAGTTAAGTGAATCTGGCTTCCTCCACTGACTTTGCTTGTTGGAAGCCAGCTGGGAAGATTACAGATAATGGTAACATGACCCTAGGACAGTCCAACTGTCATAAATACATGCTACTTGCCAAGTACCCAAATTTTGATCACATGACCATGAGGACACGGCAGCGGTCATAAGTGTTTAAACTGGCCATAAGACACTTTTTCAGTGCTATTGTAACTGTGAATAATCACTAAGCAAATGATTGCAAGTTGAGGATGACCTGTAATATACCTATGATGGGCTGAAAAGTCCATAGTAAGGTAATTCTGGTCCTGTTTCTATACAAAAACACAACTGTCCTTTCTCCTTTACTGTACAGGTTCCCATTGGGACTATATGCTCTTGAGCTGGGTTTTATAACTACCAATTATCAGTGACTCTGATTTCAGGACTTTTTTTAACCTATACTTGGTTTAATTAGGATGAGCAATCCAATTTTCTTAGTCCAGAATACACCGAACCACAGAATTACTTCACAAACTGGACTAAAATTGGCTGGCTAGTTTTGTAACTCAGCTGGTCCTTGCAAATCAAGTCTGTTTCGTTTCCCGAAAAGTTGACTTCCCCGGCCGCTCTAGAAAAGCAACCCCCATCGGCGTCCCTTTGGTTACCATAGAGGAAATCAAAAGCCCGGTTAGGAGCCATCTTCCTGCGATATCGCATCCCAGTATGGTCCAGCGACCGAACAACGGTCATCGATTGATTCATCTTGCGGCCACCTTGGTCTCTGCCGCCGCTTCGGAAGGTTGTCGGCGCCGTTCACATAGCAACCGTTTCCACAGCAACAGAGCCGAGCTAAAAGGGCTCGACGTCATTTCCTGGAGCCATACCATAGAGCGGGAGTTGGGAGTGCAAATCAGTCCGCCGCTAAGTAACTTAGGAGTCTGTTCTTGACGCTTTGCCGAGAAGAGGAGCAATGCGTCCGTATCAACAAGGCTCCTCTTTCACAATTGGGCGAGTTGAGAAAGGAGCATTTCCATTAAGAATATATTTCTGGGAGAATTTCTCTCGAAAACTCAAACTAGTCGCCCGGAAAACTGAACAGAAGCCACCGGGTATTATAAATTCCAGGATAATGAGCCATCTGTATAAAACATCTACGCACAGGGAATTTGCTTCTAGTCCACTTTTGTGACTTCACGGACGTGCCCACTTAAATCGTCTTCCGTGTTTTGTTTTTTGTTGGCGCCCCATGTCCTGGAATTGTCTTCTCTGTTCTGTTCAGATTCGACGTTGCTTATTATAACATTCTGCTGCCACCTAGCAGACTTTTACGGGCATTACCTCAATAAAAGCATATATTTCAAGAGTGCAATTCAAACAACGAAGCTGGTATTTGAATCTATACAGTAGTTCGAAAGTCCACCTGACCTAGTTGACAGCTCCTTAGAGAATAAAAGAAAAAAGTAAGGGAAAACGGGGGGAGGGGGGGAATCATAGATCAAAAGGAATAACAAACTTAAAACTAAAAAACTAAAAGGATTTATTTGCGGCTCGGCTATTTCGGGGATCGTTAGACACAATCTGCCGTAAACAAGTTGATCAGTAGTTTTCAATGCCTCGTTGGCCTCCATCAAAAGAGGTTTCACCGCATTAAGAAACTTCTTCATCCTCTGCTCGATCTTGGCTTATTCTGCAGTTCACGGTTTACATATATGGAACATTGGCGATGTTACGTCACAAACGTGGCTGGGAGTAACCTAGTGGCGACGGCGGAAATCTGAGATTGTCCTTCCCCGTAGGCTTGTGCGCATGCGCAAATAGAAGGGATGTCGAATCTGGCCTCCTGCGATCCGGCGGGTCTCCAAGCCCCAGCTCAGGCGGAGCAAAAGCCGCCGCCTTCGTTGAAGCCGTGTTGCGCCTGCCCCGAGACAAAGCAGGCGCGCGACGCTTGGTGGGTAACGGGGGGTTACGGGAGAAAGGGCACGTGGGTAAACTAGGGAGCTCGCCGTGACATGTGGGAAGCGTGCGTGGGCAGCGAGGGACAGTTTTGCGCGTCGGCAAACGGTATCGAAGTAGCCGAACTACAGAAACAACCCCCCCCCCGGGTGTTCTTAAGCGCTTCTTCCAGTCTGGCCCAACGTCAGGAAATGGCTAGTAGGTGGTTTGTCCCAGTTGTTCCCTGATAGCAGCAGTTGAAGGCTAAGTTTCTCCTTTACAAATGTTTTGCGAGTGTCTTGCGCAATACCACAGTCTCCAGCATAAAGAGCAGAAATACAGCAAGGGGATATCCTGCTGTTTGGTGAATCTATGTGTCTATGCCGTGTTTTGCTCCCAACCAAACCAGAGGACTAATCAAGGGAAGAAGTTTCTCTTTTCTATATGAACCCAGATTTTAACCTCTTCCTGCAAAATTGCGGAAGTCTCCCAATCTAGTACTAGTGGTTTTATTTCCCTTTAGCCAGAATAAGATCTCTATGTTCCTGGACAGAAACTGCTTAATTCCAACAACTGCCAGTTTAAAAAATAATGGAATTAAATAATCTGTCTTCTCACTGTCCCAGACCTCTCACTATCTGGAAAAAGAAGCCTGCTAGATGCAGAATTATCTCCTTTTAATCTCCTCTAGAAAAAGGAAGGCAGCTACCACCCATTATTTTAAAAGGTGATTGAGAAACATATATATTTCTATATATACATCTACATCTCTGTCCGTCCGTCCATCCATCCATCCTTTTATTTTTTCCAGTTTTATTGGTGTTCTAGGACAAGGGTTTGTAACCTCCAGTCCGTGGACTAGCCCCGCTCTGCAACATGCCAGCAACCAGTCCACACAAACAAACAAAGCCTCATTCACAGGATGCAGGCACCATGTAAAACCAACCCCCTCTGGGCTGTGGAAAAATCTTTCTCTGTGGAACCGGTCCCTGGTGCTCAAAAGGTTGGGGGGGGGGACACTGTTCTAGGAAGAAACTTCCCAGTTTCCTAAACCCTAAAGTTTTAGGAGGAACTGGTAAAATTAGATATATTTCCCCTTATCCCTTAGCATCACTAATATTTGCATTGTTTTGCTTTTGGGATTGTAGTGCACTAACTGTGCTGCTTCTTAAACAATAAGGTCACTTTGGATAACTATTTGCTAAAGAGTTGTGGGCGGCTGTGAACCTCTTTGGCATTGTTTGCTTCATTTTCTTTCTTCAGACCTCAAGTCCCACTCTCTTCTGCTGTTTAATACAACTTGCTTCCATGTCTTAAATTTCTTCATGTTAAATTAATTTTATTCATTTCAGAAATCTAGAACTGTATAATGATTCTGGATATTGTTTCTGTGTATATGTGTATGTTTTTAAAAATAAAAATCCATATGTTGTTAGGGTGGCCCAGGTTAATGTTGAAAAATATTTAACAGTTGATTTTTGTTATTTGTAGGTTCCATATTGCAGATTTATCTTCTCACTAAAATGCATTTGCAAAATCAATACTCATGATGCTTTTAAAACCATACTGAAGAACAAAAAATGGAGTCACCCAACACATGTTCTCGGTATTCACTAATTCAGCAACTTTATAGAATGCAACTACTGCATATAACAAGAATTCTCTATAATGGGGAAATCAACTGAGTATGAAGTATTCTATTAAAAATGAGGCCTTTGTTAGCAACCATGCCTAAATGTCAGCAATTCTGTAAATCAGTGTAGCTCTTTGGCAGCTATTTTGAGGTGGTCATTGGTACCTCCCAAGAAAATATTTCAAAACTCAAAACAGATTGAGTTTTTCAAGTTTGTTTGGTTTTTATTCAATTTATAAAGCCATTTATCTTACATATGTGAGTAGACATCTCGCAATAAGATAAAACACACAGTATATAAAATAAAACACAGCAACTGAGCATCATAAAACAATATCAAGACAGGAAATGGACTCTGTCCAATGCCCAGGGCCCCACACTTAGGCATCCAGTTTTCAGGGCCTTACATAAGGTCAGTAGAGATAGGGCTAATCTAAGGAGATATTGTTACAAAGGGCAGGTATCGTGGCAGAAAAGTCTCTGTTGCTGGGCTCTTCCAGTCAATCCTCCATGAGTGGTGGTACCCAGAGCATGCCCTTCTGCTGAATGGGGTAGAGATCATTCAGGACAGATGGGTCCTATAAGTAACCCATAAATTGGGTTTTAAAAGGTCCCCATAGCAATTACAACTATCACTTCTACATGTTTTGGTCTAGTGGCTTACATCAATATTGAAGTAGCAAAATTTTTATCCAATGGAAAATTCTGAACCATCTTCAAGCTTATATAAATACATTAAGTTGATGAATCCTGGAAGCAACATGATGCATCAGTATCCAAAATCAAATCTGCCTGGTAACTGCTGCCATACTAATTTAAGATAGTATAATAAACTTTTGCTCAAGAGTATGTAGACCTATACAAGCCCATCTTGCATACACTGTTCAGGGAAAGTATAAAAATAAACATGTAATTCATACTAACACCTGTGTTGGTGAGTTCTTCAACTCATAGTAATTTAATTTCACTAGGGTTGAATTGTGTTTTATTCAATGTTACATATAATTGAGTGAAAAAATTAAATACTCTTTTCACAAAGTACAAAAGCAACTGAAAGGCATTTTTTCAGGTGCAAAAAAGAGCCAAAAAGAAAAGGAACAAGAAGCCCCTCTTCTGTACCAGTCTCTTCAAATCTTAAAATGGTTCTGCTTTTTCTGTTTGCCAGTGATGATGATGTTATCCATTCTGTCATGTCCTACTCTTGGCAATTCTATGGGCCAGGTCTCTCCATATCTTCCAATCTTGTACTACTTTTTTTAGTACTATGCTCTGGTTAGTGTCAGCTTTGATGGTGCCCAGCAACCTTGTTCTTTGGCTTGGTTTTCTTTTGTCGCTAAACTCTTCCAAACATAATTGCATTCTCTAATGAATTTCCCTGCATGACATGGCCAAAATAAGTGAGCTGCACTTTTGTGATTTTGCCTTCCAGTGACATGTCTGGTGTTACACGTTCCATGACTTCCTTATTAGTACCTTTGCTGTCCAAGGAATATGTAGGAGCCCTCCAACACCATAGCTCAAACAAGTTGATTTTCTACCTGTCTTGCTTTTTTAAGGTCCAAGCATAGGTAGCTACAGTGAACACAATAGAGTGGACTAATCTACATTTGGTTGCCAGACTGATGTCCTTGCTTTTTCATATTCGGCTCATGTTTATCATTGTGCGATCCATTGCAATCAGATGTTTTGTTTCCAGGCTCCATTCACAGCTTTGAGTGTACTGCGATCCTAGGAGGGTAATTTTTTTTCACACATTCTATCTCTTCGCCATCAATTATTATTTTGAGGTTTCCTTTCCTTTCAGTGGTCATGAGTTTGGTTTTTTTGATGTTTAGAAAGAGACCAAAATTCTCACTTCGATTTTCTTGATCAGAAGTTCCAAACTTCCTTTGCTTTCTGAGTGGAGAGTTGTATCATCAGCATATTGAAGATCATTGGTATATCTGCCTCCAATTTTTACTCTGATTTTTGATTCTTCAGGATCTAGCTTCCTCATGATTATTTAAGCATAAACGTTGAATAAGAAAGGAGAGAATACAACCTTGTCACCAGTGTATTTTATATGCCAGTAAAGCAATTAAAATAAGATCTGACTGTATTAAATGACTTGGATAAGGGAAGGAGAACAACTTGGTAACATAGTAGTATTACAGTTAGTCAGAGCTGAAGTCCAGTGCTTATCAACTTAGTTGAGGCCTTGATTTGTGAAATCACTTAAAGAGGAAATGTTGTGTTGCAGCATCATCGAAAAAGGAGAAGAAAACTGTGGCCATCTTATTGAAGCTCACAAGGAGT